GGGGGGGCGCGCGCGGGGGGGGGGGGGGGGGGGGGGGGGGGGGCGGGCGGCAGAGGAGAGAGCGGAGGATTTAGCGGCTACCGGCCGCTGCCGACAGTTGCATCTGTCGGGGCGCTCATTATGGCTTTTAGAGGAGATAAAAAGCGGCTTCTAACGATGCTCCCTCCGACGCTCACCTGCTCCCCCTGCACGACGCTAATTGGGCCGAACGCCGCAGGTAGCGGCCGCGCAGCCCCGGGGGAGCGGCCCGGGTGGGACCCCGTCCTTCGGGGCTCCGGGAGGCGGCCGTGTGCCCTCCGCGGGGCCGGCCTTCGTTTGGACGCGGCGGGAGAACGGCGGACGAGTGGCGGAGTTTCGCGTTTACTTCCCTCGAAGCGCTTCGAGCTCCCGCCGAGGGCCGGACCCTGTGGGTACAGCCCCCCGATTCGGTGCCCGGGGGGCATTCGCTGCTCCTTCCCCACCCGCGTTCTGCGAGGAACGAGTGAAGAAAAACGATTTCGGCCGCAGAACCATCCCTCCCGTCCCCGCCCCGAGCCCCGACCTTAACGAATACCAAGCGTCATTGACGTAAAACGCTTTTTTTCCCTTTTTTTTCTTTTTATTTAAAATCTCAACAGCGGATCGCTTTTCCTTTCGCAACCAAACAAGTAATAAATATTATTTAGCAACTTTTTTCGTTTTTTTTTTTTTTTCCTTTTTCTTTTTTACAAAAATAAACGGACGATAAAATCTCTGCAGGGGGCGGCGATAAGAAAAGTGTTACTGCGGGGCCGAGCCTGGGGCTCGGGACTGCGACACGGACACAGAGAGCATTACGGACTTCCAACGTGGTTAGAGGCGGCGGGGACGCGAATTGTGTTACACGCTTTAAAAAAGAGGAGAAATCAAAAAAACCGACCCCCATCGAACCCCATCGGACCGGACCGAGGGGAGCGCGGCGGCTGCGGGGCTGTGACACAGCGCAGCGCTCGGACGGGGCTCAGCGCGGGGTCTATGTACAAAGCCCGAAAGACACAAAACCGACGGAGGGAGATCGGAGCGGGGAGGGTGCGGATGGGGGTGGGGACGGTCCCCTGTGACCGCGGACGGACAGACGGCCGGGCAGACGGACCGCCAAAGTCCTTGGCGTCGGGTTCCTCCAGCCCGCCGGCCGCGTTCACCCCTCGGCCCGAGCGAAGGGAGAGACGGCGGCGAAGCCGCCGAGAGACGCGCGGACGGCCGCGGGCTGCGGGCGGCTCCTCCCGGCCGGCCCCGCCGTCGGGGCGCTCCGTAGGTGCTGGGGCGGCCCTGCAGGACGGGCTCACTTGGCGTCGGAGGCCAAGCGGGGCAGAGCGGCGCCGCCCATGGCCGAGACGTGGTGGTGAGGGGGAGCCGCCACCTGGCACATGCTGCAGGGGCACGGCATCCCCCCCCAGTGCTGGAAGCCGCCTCCCAGCCCCGGAGCGGCGGCGGCGGCCGAGGGCGACTTGAGGAGGCCGTGCGGGGGGCGGATGGAGCCTACGGCCGAGAGGCCGGAGCCGGGCAGGGAGGCGCTGGAGACGGCGGCGGGGGGCAGGATGGGGTGGTGCGCGGGGTGCGAGGCGGGATGGCCCGGATGGGCGGGCAGCGGCGCCGAGTGCGCGCCCATGCCGGCGGGGCAGGCGGCGGGGTGGAAAGCGGCGTGGTGGCCGCCGTAGATCTCGCTGACCAGGCGCTTCATCTCCTCCAGCGAGTTGGTGAGCATCAGGATGTAGTTTCTGGCCAGCAGCAGCGTGGCGATCTTGGAGAGCTTGCGCACCGACGGGCCGTGCGCGTAGGGCATCACCTCCCGCAGCCCGTCCATAGCGATGTTGAGGTCGTGCATCCGCTTGCGCTCGCGGCTGTTGATCTTCAGGCGCAGCTGCTGCAGCTCCGGCTCCGTCATCTGCTTCTTGTCCTTCTTGGAGGAGGCGGACGAGGACGACGAGGACGACGACGACGAGGACTTGAAGCCCAGCTTGTCCACCACCACCACCCCCGCGGCGCTCATGGCGCTGCGCAGCTCGGCGCTCAGCTCCGGCGGCGAATCGCTCTGCGTCGAGCTGGACACGGTGCCGCCCGTGAAGCTCCCGCCGCCTCCTCCTCCTCCGCCGCCACCGCCGCCTTTATTCCGGCCCGCGAGGAAGAGCTCATCGGGCTCCGGGGAGGACGGGCGGCTGGAGACCAGGCTGGCGTCCGAGTCCATGGCCCGGCGAGCGGGCTGCCTGCGGCGGGAGAGAGCCGGGGACGGCCCCAGTCAGCCAGCGTCCGCAGAAAGTTCGCCACGGCCTGTCCCCTCTTGTCTCCTCCCGTCCCGTCCCGTCCCGTCCGGTCCCGTCCCGTCCCGTCCCACCCCTTCGTCTCCCGGCCCGTCTCGTCCCCTCGCCGCCCGCCCCGTCCGTTCCACCCGCCCCGCGCTTCCCTGCGCTGCGTCCCGCCGGGCTCTCACCGTGCTCGGGGCGGCCGTGGGCAGCGGCGCGCCGTGTCGGGCGAGCAGCGCGCACCTTGCTGCTCTCCGGCGGCGCCTTTATAGCCGCGCCGGGGAGGAACAATGTCACCGGGCGGGAGGGGGCCTGCGCCAATCGGCGGCGGCGGGGGGGGCGGCTGATGTCACCGGGGCCGCTCCGGCCCGGTGGGGGGGGCGGGCGGCCCGCCCCCCCGGGGGGGGGGGGGGCTGGGAAGGGACTTTTGTCAGATCCATCGTAACGTGTAACAATGACAGCTCTGGGAAC